ATCAAAATGGGGAATCTGTTCGGTCTCCGTCAGTTTTTCGAGAATCTTGACGACGAAACTAAGAAACTGGAGGTACTCGACCACACTCTGTTATAACGACCCACATTTGGGTTCCATTCAGGATCGCGAAACTGCCGGATGCACCACTACCTGACCTTCAACGGTAGGTCCACCATGGTCAGACACCCACCATCATCATCCAAAACAAATTAAATGTAAATAGTAAAATCTGAGAGAGATGCAACAGGACTCGATCTTTTGGAGTTAGAAAGAGCGATATTTCGCCTTCAACCACTGAACAACCTTTACAAATAGCAATGGGCATGGCTCTGTGATAGCAGTTTCTGTTCCACGAGTTTGTTCCGAAATAAAGAAGACCACATATTGAGAACAAATAATGAGGAAAAGACGAAAAAGAATTAGTAATGAAAAACAAAGACGAAACGGAAGGGTATGTAGCTTGATGTAGGCGATAGTGCTCTAGGGATGAGCCATGCACGCGCCTGACTCCCATTCACATTCGTAACGTGATTTGAAGACGAGTTTGGCAAATACGAAAAATTAGACAATCATACGAAGTACACCTCAATGATTTCGGGTGCCCAAATAGGCACGGTACCAAATGACCAATCGACCTGGACAACTCGCTTGACCCAACAGAGATTCGATCCAGGGACTACGTACGCAACAAAGACGATCATTTTGATTGCTCTGTTTTCAAACCAAAAAACGAGACAAAGATGTGCCAAAGACATTCAGTGCCAATGAAGCCTTCTTTTTAAAAAATAGTTATAGTAAGCTCTTGAATATTTATTAAATTTAAAGCAAAGCATACAAGAGGTAATCGTGAAAAGGGTAAAGCATAAGTCATGGCAGTTAATACCCGGTAAGGAGGTGAGTTCCCAAACAGCACAATATTATGTAAGCAATGTTAGTAACAGCTAGAGAAAAAAAATCAATATCAATTAGTAGATCGATATTTGGGTAAGCATAAATACCTATGTCTTCTAGAAAAGAAAATAATGCCCATTTCCAACAAAAGAATTAACAAGCCCACGGTAACTACAACAACGTAAAGCATCAAAGCATAAAAACGACTATGAATCCAAAGAATTGAAAATGCCACTCGATATCGATTAGTTGAATCGTCACCAACATATCGATCAATTCGTACAAACCCGTAGCCCACATCGAATACGCCCATTCTGAAATTACGACGGAATTACGTTGCTGTCTTTCATCCCAGTCATGCAATGGTGTGAGCCGTCCACATTGGAATAGGTATTGATTTTACGCGCGTACAAGAAATATTTTCTCGCAGTTTGATGAGTAAGACAACCTGAAAGCTGCTCAAAATGTTCAAATGCCAGAAAACCAATAAATACCTATAGGAGCAGGTGGGGGTCTGTAACTCGAGAATCTCTTTTGAATCCAAAGTGAATTCCTGAATTTGACGGATGCCTGTGAGATCTCTAGATTTAGCATTCGTGCTGTCTCGTGATATATGATGAACATTAGCCTGAAACCACCATTGTAAGTTCAAAAAATCCTTTTAAAAAGCTGGACAAACTTTTCAGCAACGCTTGTTGATCACTTCCCTATACGCCATGCATTCTCTACTTGCTGGAGGCGGAAACTGATGGAATCCCTTAAGAATTCTTGAAATCCATGAGACCACATAGCACTAATTTTTATCAAAGTCCACGGTTTATTTTAATCTCAGAGAGCTTTACTTTCATGAACATTCGATTAAATTGACAATAGCGAAGAAAGCCGTATTTGCTTTCTGTTTCGACTAAGCCAGATGACAATTTCATTCGCGGCGCATCCCCAATTTTTTCTTGCAATACTATCCAACAAAAGATAAATAGATAAAGGATTCTAACTCACCTTATGATCGTGAGCACTCAGTATCAAATCGGGATTGAGCTCTGATGTCTAAAAATCGAATGAAAAATCTGATAAGTTTCAGTAAAAAATCAGGAAAGTATTTTTTGTGAAATCCAGTGAGAAACTCAATGTGCTACTGAGGAACTGTAAGTAACTGAGGAATGTCTCAGTGTTGTTTTCGTTAATGTTATTATTATAATTATCATTTCTATAGCCTATGAAGGCATTAAAATCTCTATCTGGGACTAAATTTGTCATGAAGCGCTATGCGCTAGTACTATTGATATCACTATTATAGTTTTACATATGTCATTATTATAAAAATCGAATGCGTAAAATCGGTATGATTGCTTTAATGATAGAAATGATATTAAAAACTNAAAACAGTTAGGAAAGAATTTTTGTGAAATCTAGTGAGAAACCCGATGTGCTACTGAGGATCTGTAAGTAACTGAGAAAGTGTTAGCGTTAATTTCGTTAATGTTATTATTATAACTATCATTTTTTATAGCCTATGAGGGCATTAAAATCTTTATTTGGGACTAAATTTGTTATGAAGCGCTATGCGCTAGTACTATTGATAACACCATTATAGTTATACATATGTCATTATTATAAAAATCGAATGCGTAAAATCGGTATGATTGCTTTAATGATAGAAATGATATTAAAAACTAACGATTCTCAAGGTATCAATATAAGTCGCTGTAGCAAATGGCACATGGCTCAGCACAACTTTCAACTCCGGCGGTTCGGAGAATTCTCGTATTGTGGTCACTTCGGAATTCATCAGGTTGACCTAAAATTGCAATTTAAAGTGTATCCGAAAAAAAGAAGAGAAATATATAATGGTTCAATTAACGGTTTCTCTCTGCCACAAGGTTGACAAGTTACGGACAAAACCCCGGTTTCGGACGGGACTCGAACCCGTACTTGTTCTAGCACATGCTCTTTGTCCCTTGCACTACCTTCCTGCCTGCCCTTGCCAAAGGTTTTTGTAAGTAAAGTTCTTTGAATTTTCTTGGCAATTTCTGGATGGCTTCCGCTCCATGAAGGTAATAGGAAATCATGTTTATCAAAAAAAATTTATATAAAATTGTTTCAGCTTTGAAGGATACGATAGTTTTCCGAATGGCACATGACTCCCTGCAGTAAACAGCACGGTTTTACCGGCTCCTTTCGGTATGCGCCATGAATTCAACTCGAATGTTTTGGCTCGGCCTCAAACACGGTTACATGTAATTCAGTGCGGGACTTTAACCTCCTGGATACCCTTTCCCTTACGAGAAGCCAATAAAAATGACGGATTCGAGGTCCCATGATACGCGATGTACATGGCTTGGATACGAAATAAGGGGGTGGAGGGTGGATGCTAAAAAGGAGAACGGCCTCGATCAATGCTTGGATATCCCGGCTTGACACTGCGAAACTCGGATTAAGCACTCACCCCAGTGAAAGATATGGACTTGAAAACGTCGTTCGACGATGGAAAAGAGTTCGTGAATAGTCGACCAAAACGAGCCGTCAAGAGACTTTGCACAGGTTCAACTTCACCACCGACGTCGTTGTCACCGCTGATGTAGATGGTCTGAACTGAGCTAATCAAAGTAAAAATGCAGCTTCAATAGGAAAAGGAAGGAGTAGGNCCCACAGGGATCTTCGTGTCAAATATGGCTTTGAATCTGTCGACTGTCCAGTCTATCTCCGTATCGCTGGCCTCAACACCTTCATCAAATAGATCGCCAAGAAAAATGATCAAATCAGGGTTTGTGGCTGAGACGACATGGGAGAATCCTTTTGAGAGGAATCTGAAACATTGACATCAAAGTTTCTTCTGAATGATCCTTTGAAAGCCAAATTTACCGATCGCAATCCCATCTCGTTAACGGCCCCATCATATGGTTCTCGTTCCTGAATCCAACCAGCTGGGGATCCGCAACGATTAGAATTCCCAGAGATCTTGCATCCTCAAATTCCGGCTCAGCAACATTCCAGAACAGCCTTGAGTGGTAGTAGTTCAGCGACTCACCCCATATGAGGCATGCGAGTAGGATTACTGAATGGAATACAGTGAGTAAAAGTTTTTCATCACAAAATGAGAAAACTTGATAAAAACTTAAATGGGAAACTAGTTTGGATTCCTGAGACGGATTCAACTTGGAGGTCTAACGGTAAGTACTATGTTCATATTCCACCTAGTTCACGGTGGAAAGTGAGCAGTGAACTAGAGCGCCAGGTCGCTCGAATGGACAGTTCTGATGATAGTTGAACCTTGCAAGTCGCCCTGAAAACGGTACACGCGGAAGTACTCAAACTGTATTTGTTACCAATTTGGTAGGCGGCGGTGTAGTGCCAAAAGGCGTACTACCGTGCAAACATGGCCGCGGGATCGAATAGTGGATCGATACCCGCCCAGGCCAACGAAGCCCTTCATCCCAAGGAACGACTAATTGGTATCAGACCAGTGTGAGAGTGCAAAAGCGCAGACTTGTACTCCGGAAGGTCTACCCAGTTTATTGTATAGCCCACATACGCATCCAAACGTCACAGCGATCCTGATGGAAGTCGAATGCTGAGCGCGTACAGAGAACAGGGTTAGATGAAGCTACGGCGTCAAAGAACGAAGGTTTCGTCCTCCGCCTTTATCAATCTCATTACCAGCTGAACTACTATTGAACCCTAAATGGAACACAAAGGACTCATAGAGAGTCAAACATGGAGACTCACTATTCATATGGCTTCCCTCATAACTGTAAATAAAAACTTACATTCACGCAACAACTACCTTATTTCACAGATAATTCAAAACATTTATGGTAATTTATCCTGAAAACTGCTATTAGGTGACGAGTACGGCTAGACGAGTAGAAAACCAGACGAGTAGGCGTTGTATTGAAGTATCCACCTACTCTTTTATCATTTTTCACCCTCAATTTGTAATGAGCTCTGTTTCATGATGCTCTTCTTTTGATTCGAACCCCTATCCTTAATGGAAACCGCCCATCATACCCGTAAGGAACAAATGATTCGACCCTTACATTTCCTATGCTTCGTTCTGCACCCAACCTTGACACCCGGAACATGTAAAACGAAGTACAAAAAGAAACTAGTACATAATAGGTACTGTCAGAAAGCACTTGTTACCTGGATAGAATGTTGAGAATAATCTGAAGAAGCTTCGACGGCGTAGCTTTATAAGGGTCATCCCCCTTGATTCTGATGATGTCCGCCAACTGCGGTAGTGCTCATACAGCCTCCAGCATGGTGAATCCTAAAGTTCGTTGTCAAATTCTCGATTTATAAACAACCAACAAGCGAAAAAAGCATAATGACGTCTCGAACGTAATCAGTAAGGAATCCATCATTCCATTGCGGTTTTCAAACTCAAAATAACCTCAATTCAGCCAATTCAAATAAGAGCCTGCACTTTGAAAAATCATAGTTTTTTTCGGCGCGTCGTCAGTCGCGCGCACAATCGATATCTATGTTTCACAGTGAAGGGATGAAAAGTATAAAAGCGGACGCGACAGCAGGGGACTATACAAGAGACAAAATTCGAATGCATTCGTTGCAGGAGTCATGACGGTCTAAATAACTTCTCAATGAACGACTCAATTGGTTGGATTATAATAGTAAAAAAGCTCATCAGAGGGTCAACAGGTATCTTGTCTGATTCCGCCAACTTCTAGCCGTGTATGCCAAATACCCATTCGAACAAATCCACGACTCCTTGCTGCAGGTCCTCTTCAATGGACAGAGCAGTATGCACCTCATTTCAAGCATTATTAGCTATTTGTAAACTTGTTGTAGTTGACAGATTGTGAGAGAAAGGAAGAGGAGTGCCTGAAAAGGCTTATGGTGTTGAAAAAAGGACCATCATCTCAAATTGTTCTTCAAAGAGTTGGGGTTGATCCCATTTGTTGGGTTGAGCCTTTTCTTCGCCTTCCATAAGATACGCTTAAACGCTGTTCAGATAGGGCGACCTATGAGGGTTAGATAATTTGCTTCTTCTCCTCCCAGCTAATGGAGGTAAGACGTCATCCCACAGTTGACGGAGTGGCTACCCACTCCGTCAACTGTGGGATGAAAAAGGGCAATTGAAATTCACTTGATTAGGCAATATTTTAGCTAACTCCTGAGAAACAGGAAAAAAGCGGAACCGTTTACATATGCACTCTTCAAATAGGCGCTACTCATGGGATAATTTTTTTTCCTGAAACTTATAATTAGGTGAGTAGGAAGAGGAAAGTGAGAAGGAAGGGTGAGATCAGATTTTCCTATTTGATACTACTAATTACATGAAATTTTTTCATGTATAATTAAAGATTAGAGATCGACTCCCACATTCATTACTGCCTAGACTAATAGAAGTAACCATCCTCCCTGAAACTGGTTGACTATTACCAGTCAATGGGAACTGTTCACAGCTGGGAGCTTGGATACTGTAGAGGTAAGCCAAAATCATTCTAAATAGAAGACGTAAACATGTCACTAAAAAGATCAGTTAAAGGTAAACAGTTTAACCATGAATCCATCTGCTAATTAGAGGCTGTAACTTAAAAAGAGCGAAAGTGGGTTGTGGCAAGTGACGCACTGTCAAACGCATGGTCCTGGGATCGAAACCTGGACTGATAAGCACCCAGGCCAATCAAGCCTTCCATTCCTGCAGGGCCGGTTGATTGGTAATAGACTGGTCTGGAAGAATAAGAGCACTGACTTGGACATCTGCTGGCCACCTCAATTCACTGTATAGGCTACATACGCATTCAAACAGACCATTACGACTTGTGATGGAAGTCAAATAGGTATGGACAGACAGTCTGTGAAGGAGCTAAGTACCAAATAGGGACGAAAAACCAGAACATATATCTAATTGTAGACACGTTTACTTCAGTCAGAGCTAGGCTGATGAGAAGCCATTTCCTATAATGAAATACGACCGACTAGGCGGGGGCCGCATAACTGAACGCCTCCTCTTTCCTTTCGTCGTCGACTCAGCGGTTTTTCTAACATAATGCGTGGGTAATACTCAATACCATTCGATTACTGGAGGTATTTCTTTATAAAAACAGAGAGATAGTGTTAAATAAGTAATGTTATCCCCCATGAAACAATTTGATTCCCATATGGGCGTGGCCAAATTTGACCGTATTAGTATAAATAGAGCCCATATAAGGAAGGCATCTGTTCAGACTATTACAGACAGATATTTTGTATCATCCTGAGCATCTACTACAAATATTTGAGATCCATTTGAGTAAATGAATTTTTCAAATTCTTCAAATTCCTATTGATCGATTCCTAAGTGAATTTCTATCGGTTATGAGTATGAGTAATCTAAATAAACATACTCATATCATTGCAAAAACATCATGAGTCATCTTTTACTCTTATAAATCAAAACGCTTTGCCACCCTTTGGACCCTTATTCTATTTTAACTAAAACTCTTTTTTTTCATCAATTTTACTATTGAACCGAACTTTATTTGAAATGATAAAAAATCATTTTTCCGCCTTCTTCTATGTATTCGAATGGAAAATTGCTATCCAAACATTGCAAATCTATTGAAAGCTCTGTTTCATTCAATAATTTCCGGAGTGGGCCGTGCATCTGGCTGCAATCCAGAATTACAGGGGAATTTGAAAGCGATTCGCAACAACGACACCTTGTCTATTACTTCTTTCCTCCCTTTGCTTCGATTATGTTTTCTAATTTGTGAGCTGACATTTTCATCTTCAGGCAATTTTCTCCTAAAAGTCTTTTTTCGAATAATCAGTGACATTTTCTCCCGTTTGGAAGACGTCTAAACTTTAGTGGTAACTTCATGAGGTAACTCCTTGGAGGGTAACCAGAATCTTAGAAATATTCGCAATTCGCAACATTGTTTATGTCTTTTTAGTCTCTGAATTGGCTCAAGATGTGTTTTTATAGTCTCAGACAAATCTGGTACAAATTAGCCGACCCCGCAGGAACGAAGTATTTGATTACCTTGGGGAAAATTAGATTCGGACTTCATTACCCCCCCCCCCCCACTTGCTCCACGCAGCGCATGAGCTAGCGGTGACTGTTTCCAAACCTGTCTCCTTCCCTAAATACACCTGATAACAAAAAATACCTCCAAATGAAATCATTGGGACAGGGGCCAAACTCATAAAAACTGAGTGCGCGTTTGCAGAGCGGTCAGCTTTGGCGGGGCCAGATTACGTCAGTGATTGTTGCAGTAATTTTTCACCATGACCATGACTCCATTCCTAGTTGAAAAGTATGTAAGTCTAACCCGCTCAGGGTACTTCACAATACTAATCCGATTATTCGGGCGGTTTTCATTTCCCTCCAACCTTCATTGTTGAGGTATGAGTCACCTGGATGACATTTTGGGCAAACCAATTCAGCAGCTGATGTCACTTTTGTACATGGAGGTCTTCGGATTCGTCACTCACCTCCATGAACATGACCTTAACCTTCGGGCCATCTTAGAGGCCAAATATTCTGCCAGTTAGGGCCAGAAGTCGAGTTTGTGCGCATCCAAAAGAGATCTGCCTCTCAACCTTCTCCTCCACACCAGTGCCGGTCACATTTTTTAACAAAAAGAAGATAGTCGAATCTCCGAGATGTTCTGACCTGATCCTGTTCTAGCTGAGCCGACAGACCAATGGCAATTCGGTTCAACCCGGGTCAGATCAGCTCAAGCCGAAGGGCCACGAGCCGTAGCAGGCGTAAATTCATTAAGTTCCAAGGAATCTCATCCCTACCTCATCCCCTTTCAAACAATATTTCCATAAGGCGAAAGCTTTGAGTGAGGCTCCGTGAGGTAAGATTTCAGTAAAGAAAACTGGAGGGGTTACAAACCCTAAAAAAGCCATTAGCCGTAAAGTGTTGCTAGGCCCTAACATTCAACTAGCTATTCCCGATAGTGGATGTCGAAGGCATGGCGCAACCCAGAAAACATTAACCTCATGAGTCACTAGCTTCTTCTGTCGTGGGAGATGTAAGCAGCTAATGTTACTAGTACTTTTTATTGTGTTTTCAAAACATTTGTCACCATCTGATATCAACCAGGAAGTGCCACACCCTTGAGTCATCTAAGCCTTCAACGAAAATGACGAATTTCTCAACTGATGTGAACTGCACCAGCTGCAGCAAATGCTTTGGATCATGAGCTGGCAGTGTAATGTCATTCCGAAACAACAATGCATTTCACAACAGACCCTTCAGTTCACCTTTGAGAAGCTATTTTTTTTTTGTCCCTTCATGATATCATTCATTATTTGAACTTGGCATCTGTAACTGGGGCGAGGTGACTCATTCTCAAGAGAACTCATCCCTGTAAGAGACCTCCAATTCTACTTTATCATCCCCAACTCGCCAGAATGACCCTATTTCAAGAGGTAATCACTGCAGGGGCAGAAAAAAACTCTGAGGAAAACGAAAAACGCGGGCCCACCTCACAACGAAGAAAGGATAACAATTTAGAAATGAGGCTCATTGAATTGATTGAGTGCCCGGCGGACATTGTAGGATGAACACTCTGCGACGATGGATTACATTGAGGTATACCGCGTAACCTCTGAAGAGTGGGCCACGCTCTCGACTTCCATGGGAATCAGAGAAGTGTCTGAATCACAACTGAACCACGCACGACCTTGGGGGAACTCATCTCCAGATGGATCAAGTTAGGGATGCTGACAGTACTATTTTCCTAGATAAGATAAGTTAGGTAGTACCTACTCAACCGTGAAAAATACGGACTGGACAGGTTTCAATCCAGTGGATCGCATAATCGCAACACATTTCTGGCCACTGCACCAATGGTCGTTGTTACAAAGAGGGCGGAAGGAGATGGCAAGAGGGCCACGAAGATAGCTACGTTAGAAACAAAAGGAATGGTCCAGAAAAAGAGGAGGAAGACGTAGAAAATAAGAAATGGTTAAAAGGAAAGCTGTTGGAACGAGGAAACGAAACGAGTTGGCTACACTTATGGAAGCTCGACTGGCAGTGAAAAGAGCTACCCAAATGTGCTGTATAATGTGATAGAAATCAATACGTGATCAAGTAAAATCGATAGAACTGAGTGGTATTTCTTCATGGGGAGAAAATGTAAGCGACTCTACTCCTTTAACTTTTTACCTTACCTTTGTGCACATTTTTATAAACATGTCGTGTTTCTATCCCTTTCCATTCATGAAAAAACCTGATGGTAATGATCATTTCCCGGCTTAATCTGCCCAGCAGTTCGAAATGGGTTTTAACAAAAATCGTTCTCCCCTGGCAAGGAAAACTTGGATCCTTTGATGAATTTTCTATACGGTGGTAAGGGAAACCTCCATTTCACCTAGGAATTCAAAGAATGCTTCTTTTATTATCCAAAATTTGCATATAAAGTAATTCTACGAATAGTAAGTACAAGCGTATGTGTGTGCATAACCAGTTTGAGCTGGGCGGAGCTAGGGTGGGTTTGCTGACCGCCCTTCTTCTGCATACTTCGACAGGAATCCGGATCTCATTCCATAGGCTGCCAACCATTAATCCTTTGTTATAACTCAGGTAACGCAGGTATCCTTACAAGTATTTCTTCACTACGCCTTACTATTTCAAAATTTCTGACCAACTCAACATCCATGCTCCTTCACGATTATTATAGCACAATTTCTTTCCTGTTCAAGTACTTTTACCCCTCCAGTGGATGCCACTGAACGAATTTTCAACAGTTTTCAAAAATTCTCACTCATCTATTAGCAATCGCTTTTCTCCGATTTAGTATTTCGTATTTTTCGTGCATCTAGCTTCGAATTAACTTTGGTAGTATTACAATTAATCAATACAATCAATATGTATGAAAGTAGGTTGAAAAGTTTCGAAATTTTAACTTGATTCAAAACAAAAAGTTCCTCAACTTATTTTGCTTTCTGAAATTTACTTTCCTCTCCTTCCTACTCAGTACTCACCTAAGGTAAGCAGTACTTGTACGAAAATGGTACTATTTGCCCCATTTCTTAAAACTATTTATGCTTAACACTCTTTCTTGGAACTATGACCCTTTTGAGAGTGAGCCATGTATTTGCACTCTAATAATTATTGTCCACCTAAACATACTTGACTGACATTAGTATGAATGAACAGAAAAATTGGTAGAACACTGGCTGGGACACTTCTGCCCCTATGATAGACACGTAGAAGGGGCCATTGGTAACAACGCTACATTGAACTCAACAGTGGTGAGTGATGTGTTTCTGTGGGTGGGGGCTCGAGGCAGGGATCGAAACTTAGATTGAATCCATCATAGAACAACGGAACTGTTCATCTCTACGGGACTTAATCGATGGTATAAAGCCATTTTATCAAGTCATTGTGCACACATTCAATGGCCATAGCGATTCGCAGAGGAAATCGAATGCGTGGCGTAACCGAAAATAAATGGTCAGAGGTTCAATCCGATTAAGAACCGGAGTGGAATGACTTTTTTAGTGGTAATTACCTAATGTCCTATATTAAAGGGTTGCAAAGAAGTGTAAACGCTGGAAGGGTATAGAGGTCAGAAAATTTCCTCCATACAAAACAAAATTTCTTGAGTCTGTGTTGTTCACGTGCCACGAATGCGCGCGGACGCGATGCGGCTCCCAGGCCACTCACAGGGAATCCAGCCAAGATCCACGAACCCGTCTTACTACTAGCAGTGAATGATCATTATCGGTTGTCTGCACGTGAAACACAGCTGCCGAACAGGTTAGCAGATCGGACCGTGGCAACAAGAAAACATCTATTGATGAAGGATAGCGATATTGATCTAGTAATTAGACGGTGATGAAGAAAACCACACAAGAGGAGTAAAAAGGTCTTCAGCGTTAACAATCCCATTTTGAAATGCTCCGTGCATTCCACTTCCATCCAGAATCGTTGTGATGTATTGAACGGGTATGTGGCCTGGATGTGATGGACACCCCAACTAGAAGCAGTGCTTATTTCCTCCCAAACGAGCCTGGACCAATCAATCAATCCCGAAGGAATGGAAAGCTTGGTTGCTGTGGGCACGTATCGATCTAGGCTTCGATCCTCGGGCCACGTGCCTGTGAGGGTGTGCCACTTGCCACTAGACCACCTAAGCTAGGTTGTTTACGATAAACAAAGCAAGCACGAAGTATAAGGTTTGTGAAATGAAGGCAGACTTGTTTGAAGTAATGAAAAGTCTCTAAAGTAAGTCGTTGCATGAAGCAAACACGCAATCAAAGGCTGTTACGCCCCTGGGCGAAAAGCGAGCGCGTGGCTTATACCATGCAGCGTACAAACAACAATAATGTCTCCATTAGGCTGGGCATAATATGTAAACAAATAAGAAATGATGGGATTTCAGTGAAGACCCGAATTCTTACCGTAATCATCTGCTTCTAACTATTAAGGCCGTAAAAGCTATTAGTTGGTGCTGTGGTTTGGAACAACAACGCGGTCTACGGTAGGAATTTGCGTCCATATTAAAATTTTATTCATGAGTAAATGTAAGAAAGGATAATCTGCGGTTGTGAGGCGGTAATAAATATTTATTGCCCATAATTGGTAAAGATAAGCGCAAGTATAACCAAGACCGCGGGGCAACCGCTCGCATACCAGGCTTGCGATCATGATGAAGCCTCATATAGGTGTAGTAGGATAATGATTCGTCATGACCTAATCGTAAAAAAGTGAATAAAGTCTACAAATCCACACACACCGAAGTTCTAAGTCCATGTCGGGTAAAGAACTCCCAGATGGGTCAAACAATGGAGTTCTCCTTTACGAGAAGTGGAAGCACAAACGCAATCAAGAAGGACAGATGATTTGAAGCCTAGAAAATCTGAGAACTTTTTGCTCCTCATGAAAGAGGAATTGGCGAATTGCCAACGGAGCAACCGAGGTGCTGCCGCTCGCGACGACCGCGACGAATGGGGCGCGCGGCTGCGTTGCGGCTCGTCGGCACGACTTTGATGGGTTGGTTGGACGACGACGGCGACGACGGCTTTCTTCGCCGTTCATCATCGTAGCCTTTGGAATCACCGACTGGCACGATCGGCGACATGTGTGGTAAATGACCGACGACGTCTTCGAGGCGTCTGTCTGCTTCTGAATGACTTTGTAGTACCGAAATTCCCTTCAGGCCTCTTGCAGCTCTTATTCATTCACTGAAGTAGGGGTTTTATTGAGCTTGTTGTAGGGTTTATCTTTTTATTTGATTCATTCACCACATATTAGTGAGTGTTGCACCGTTCAGATTCCAATCAATGTTTGTCTTCACCAGTTCTTTCGCCTTCTCTTTTCTTCACAAAACTTTAGACGAGAACCAGAACCTCTAAGTTTTCGTAGGTTTTAAAAATTTTGGGTAATTGAATACGAAAATGCTTGAAAATGATACAATCTGTAACGAAAAAGGGTCAAGTCAACCTAACCCATCTCCATCACAAAAGTATTCTTGTATTTAATTGTTGTTTTGTTTATTCATAAGAGCAGAACGCAATTTTAGTTTCACTTTCTTTTATTGAGTCGCAGTACTTTTGCCAGCGCCTAGTGTTTTAAATGCAAGTAGGTAATATTTTTCAACGATATGTTTTATAAACTTCGGTGCTTCAACATTGATATGCTCTTTTTTTCGAGTTTCGGACTTGGATCTACTAAATAGTTGTATAGGCCTGTTCTCAATTTGTTTTATACAGCTTTCACCAACTGTTTTTATCTGCTCAGACACATTACATGAAATCCATCCGTCTTCGTGTTTGTTTTTCTTAGTAGGAAGCAATAGATTGGTTAATCACCGACTATGTTTCTTCTTTACGAGAATCGGAAGTTTATCCGTCACTTTTCTCATTTGTGAGAACTCTCGGTAACTTTATTTTGTAAGTTAGCGTAAATAACCAGAAGCTGGATTTCATTGATGTGATTGGCTTTTTTCACTAATCACTGTTGTTATTATTACTTTATTAGATCGCTGACTTTGGAAAATTTCGAAAAGGTCAGACCAGATAGATTAGTTTCCGTTTACGATGTGACAATTTAGCACAGTTCATTTAATTTTGTCCGGTTTTTTTCCAAAGGCATAACAACAAAGTGGTAGGTATTGTTACTTCTTGACTGGATTCCACTACTTAAAAATGACTGTATTGTTCATTTAGGATGATCAACAATAGGTTGAATAAGCCTTTACTTTCAAATTCTCAATTTTCGCTCATCGTAGACGTTCCTTCTTGAAAATTAATACATATACTGCAAATCGAGCTCCACTTGACACATCGTGGAGTATAAACTATACAAACTTTTTGATCATTGAACTTTAACTTCGAGGATTTCTGATTATTTGAAATTTTCTCAGAAATCATCTCCTTTATTCGTAAGTCTTGCCCGATTAGTGGAATCTCATTGAAGCACTAAATTTGTCACCAGTGCCCTTAGTCGTTTGTACACGATAGCAGCTTTTGTTGTTTTGCAATGCAGTTAAAAAAGAAATAACCTTCGATGGCTTTCAGGATTGGGTAATGACGGAGTATAAGCTGGTAGTGGTGGGCGATGGAGGTGTCGGCAAATCGGCACTGACAATCCAACTAATTCAAAATCATTTCGTCGAAGAATATGATCCCACCATTGAGGACAGTTATCGAAAACAGGTACAACCTACTATTCTTCTTATCATCGTACTCATCTCTACGATGCCCGTTTGAGATGCATTTATTGCGGTTAATTGGCAGTTAACAAGACATTAACCAATTCCGCGGATATAGCGGGTGGTCAGCATTATTTTCACTTTGTGCTGAAGATTAGGGTGACATTCTTATAGGTCGTGATCGACGGTGAAACGTGTCTACTGGATATTTTGGATACGGCTGGCCAGGAAGAGTACTCAGCTATGCGCGATCAGTACATGCGTACCGGTATGAAATCTACTTTTAATGTAACCTACTCCACCACTGGATGCAATGCTCCCGTGGGCGCATTCATAGTAGGTGCATTTTTACGTATATATCTGCGTATAAATGCACATATTATGAATACGATCAATGTAATCCGATCACAAAATATTTCAACGCTACTTGACAGGACATAGAAGCTTTCAGTTCTTTTGTTTAACGAGACCTTTCATGGAGTAGCGCTCAATAAAATTGATATACCTTTAGGAAATGAAATTGCTGTTTATCTTTTCTAAATATTCGATGTGTAGCTGGACTTGACTCTCAACTTGAGCTTTAAAGGCTTGCAAGCGATGACTTTATGCAGCTCCATCTATCCATCTACCTTCCCCACCATTGACTCTAACTGCAAAATTACGTCTTTTAGCTTCATGTTTATTTAGTTTTTTTTAATTGTTCGATTCTTTTATTATCCATGCCTGTTCGGCAAATCATCATATGTCAGTCATTTTGTCGCGGTTATCTGTTTGTTATAGGCGAAGGATTTCTTCTCGTATTTGCTGTTAATGAATCAAAATCTTTCGAAAACGTCGCCAATTATCGCGA